AATAAGTTATTTATAACACTTATAATATATATTATATATATTATATATAAATCTACATTTCTTATTATGTTTGCAGGAATATTTATTTGTTCCCTCTGGTTTTATTACTTAACCATGAAAAAATAAAAATATATTCTCTAAAAAAAGGATAGATAAAAATATTCCCGATAAAAAGGATAGATAAAAATATTTAATTATTTTCTTTCGTATTTCAGATGCGGCATCTAAACATAGCCTGAGCTATAAATATAACATATTATACTGCATTAGAACGCTTTCAGTGCTTCTATTTTGCATATAATGAATGGTAAAGATAAAAATATTGTGAATTTAGACACAATTTTCTATCGATATTTATATATGTCCATAACCGCAATGAGAACCGAAAATATGATATGCAAATGTTACTTAAACTAATTTTGACATACAATATTTACTTCGGATGCGTAATTTATGAAGTATTAAATTTTCCAAAATCTTGCACTGCCAGAGCATTTGCTATTAATGTATCGAATTATGAATATAATATTGGATTGATTATAGATTCGAATGATGAAACCAAAAGGTGCAGTAATGCTACGTTATTAAAAAAATTAGCTATATTGTTACTTGTTACACATACATTACAAAACATTCAAAACATTATAATACAAATCTCTTTATTTCTTCATGAATACGAGAATACCATTAAACCACGTTTTTTTCATTGTTTTTATAATAAACATTAAGAAAGAATAAATGTTCTCATTTCTATATGCATACTTGTTAGTTTATTCAATAGTTTGACGTATTTCAGCAATGAAAGACGCTTTTATTCAGACACTTATTCGCAATCGTGTCACCGTTCCATTCAGCGATTCACAACGGACAAACCCAAGGTTAAAATAAAAAGCAAAAACCTACACACGTGTTTCAACTTTGAGAGTCCCGTATCGTGTTTGTTAAATAAATATATTATACTTATTGCATATATTATATAGACATTGATAGATAAAACAAGACACTGACCTCATTACAGTGTTATTGGAAAAATACAAAGAGAAATTTCCACCTGTACTTTCAAACGAGCGCTGATATAATCTATCGGCGAAAGTTGCTTGATTACGAGCAAGACTTTTTCGAAATGTACCCTATGAGATACAGCAGGTTTAAAAGAATACCTCATGAAATTACTCAAATGAGAGTGTCGAGTTTGATAAAGAAGAAACGTGATGCCATTACAAAGGAAACCTCGAACAATAAAAATATAGGTGATAAGATAACAAGGAAAATAATTCTGTATAAAAACCATCGAACATTTAATTTTTTGTTGATATTTTTTATAATATCTTTTCTGATAATAAAATAACAAAAAAGATATTGTAAGAGATATTAGTAAAGAATTAGGTATGCTATGTCAAATTATATTTCTATTCCAACAAATGTATTACACGCGGATATTTAAAAATTACTCCTTCGAATAGACTGTTCAATTTTAAAGAGATAATTTTTTTCTGCTAACATTTTTTTTATTTTCTTTTATCCTTTTATTTGTAATTATCATAATTTTCTTACTACAAAAAGTGATTAATAAATTAATTAAATAGTTGTTCATTTTAATTATTTTGTAATTTATTTGTTACATAAATATTATTTTGAAAATGATTTACTAAATAATATAAACATTAATAAAAATGCATTTCATAAATATAAAGTAATGAGGAAGAACTAGATGTTAATTACATAATAGAAGTACATGCAGGAATAGAAAGTATTATACGTAGGCGTTGTAAAATAAATTCTCAGTTTCGCATTTCATAATTTTATAAAATTCGCGTAACAAATTTTCCTTAACTATTGTTTTATGCAGCGTAATGAAACATAAAACGTTAAATGTGTGAAATTCTATTTTTTTCTTTGTCTCTCACTACAGATTGGACAGCATGGGACAATTGGAGCATTTGGAGTGCGTGCAGTGTATCTTGCGGGCAAGGACGACAAGTCCGTTGGCGTCATTGTTTGTCCGCAGATTGCACTAAAGGTCTCAAGAAGGCACAGTTGAAAAGCTGCTATCTGAAGAATTGCGGTACCAAAGGCATCCTCGGCTGGCTCGGGATAAAATCGTGATCCGTTTGCGACTTGCGAAAGTGATCGACAAAGTCTTCTTGACATCATTATGTGGAAAGTACTAAGCGGTCTTGAGAACGCACAAACAAAAAAGTCCTTAGTTTGTAAACTATTACAGAGAGAGTTCATTTCCGGATATTACTCTTTCCCGGAATAAAATTATCTTGATTTGATAATAAGAAAAATACAAGAATGCAAGCATGGTTAAGCTATCATTTTCCTTAATATTTTTACACTGCACTGTAACGACAAAAATTTTAAAAATAGATTTAAAGATGAAATATGTACATTAGTACAATATATCTACATACATATAATATACATGCATTACGTTCTGAAAATGTATACAATACATTTTGATAATATTAAATTAAGTTTTAAATTACTGACTCACAGGAATTCTTTTCACTCACGGAAATAGCTATTATTTTATAGCGACAGTATATATAGTATTGATTGTTATTTGTTCAGAATTTTATATTCAACATGAATTTAATAGTTCAATGTAAATTTTAATCATCGATTAATGAGAAAGAATCAATCAAATTTGCATAAATACATTTTTCTATAAATGTAATATCGATAATAGTGACAGGATAATAGTGATAGGATACTGGAACAGCCAATTCCATTTGGATCTAAATTTATTCTATTATTTTATTGCGCATTTATGAGAATTACACCTGTCTTTATATTACATCATCGTTTTAATGATATAGAACAAACTTCATTGCGGCAATTCCGTATGCCGTATCAGCAGCGAAGCAGACGGGACCGAATAAGAAAAGAAGAAGAAGAAAATAATTTCGTTTACATTAACGTTACATTCTATAAATAAATACATAAATCAATACATAAAATATATTAATGAATAGAAATAGATTGATCTTTGCTTATTTTGCTATGTTCCTGCTTTTTATGGGTAAATATGCTGCTAAAGAATATTTATGTTCTAACACAGTATATTACTCCTTTGTGCGAAATGACTTTTCAATTTTAGCCTTTAAAAAAGCCACTCCGGAAATTGACAAACCGTCGTCAAATATTGCACCTAACATTGTTGAAAGTGATATTGACACATCAAAAATAAAATCGGATAGACTCCAACGTAAAATTTATGATATATTTCGCGATATTGATGATGATCGCGAAGAGGATAATAACATCCAGTCACTGATAAAACGAGGTAAACGCAGTTGTATGCAAAATCAACTATTTACAATTAAAAGATATAAATAAAATAGGTTCAATAATAATTGTAGAATAAGGAATTTCAATGAAGATTTATTACTGAAATATGTATACTGTTATTTGTACTAATTATTAAACTTTTTCTATTAGAAAAAAAGTGTTGTATAAAAAGATTTTTATTAAATTGACATCATTTACAATTTTTAAGGCGAAGAATCCGATGGTGTTAGTTAAAATTACAACACATGGAATACACAAAAAATTGAATTCATTCCGGGAAACGCTTGATATCATAGTTATTTGTGAAACAAATATCTTTGTTTTAATATTAAAAATATAGAATAGCTTATAAAAATGCTACATTAATAATTATTAAATAAGTAGACGCAATAGAGTTTTCAAGTACGAATACGTTTGAGTCGATTTCCCCCATTGGCAGACAATAAAAATTGGCCTTTTCATAACGTCTTTCTTTAGATAATCCATAGAATTTTTAACAAAAAAAACGTTTATAGCAATATCAATAATTTATTTGATCGGCATTTTATCGTAGAGTTATATCAATTAGCTTGTGAAATGTTGCACAGCTATATGAAACTTGTGTAATTCTATTTTTTTTTGTGTACAGAGTAAGTATACAGGATGTATCTTAAATAACGCCCACTAATCATATAGTGCTTTTCTAATAAAATAATTAAGTCAAAAAATCCTTTACGCATTTTATAATTTTCATAATAGTTAACGAGATATTAATTTTTAAGATTGCCGAATAATCGATATATAAGATATCTTTTTAAGATATCTTTCAGTGTTCTTTGTAAAATATTTTGAAGATGATTTCTTAAAAAACTTTTAAAGATATTTTTAAAATATCTTATACGTCGATTTTAGACATTTTGCTTATTCAGTAATTAAAAAAAATAAGTTGCAAAATGATGAAAGGATTTTTCGATTCAGTTTTTTCATTAGGAATCGCACTATATGATTAGTGAGCGTTATTTTGCCCTGTATATAGACATGGATTTTATTTAAAGCATAAGGGTCAATAAATAAATAAAAAAGAGTAGGTGCGAATCATGTGCAATTGCAGGTCGCACACTGGTCGGTGATTGTGGCTTTCTCCGAGACCGGTTCAAGATTTACCTTTCCGCAATACCGATCATTGAAACATGAACAACATTTGGGCAGTGCATGGATGGAAATTTCCATGAGTTGCATGGCTGGAATATCTTTTCTTTCTTGCAACATCATGGTTTAAAATTTTTGCGATATGAACAACAAGAGTGCAACATTGCATAATATTCATATTTGCAAAATTTTAAATTTTTACTCCTGAGTCACTCAATTCGATCAAACTGAAGAATAACTAAAATTTATAATAATAACGTAAAATTTAGATAACGGATAGAAATTTTGGTTATTTTTTTTCAATCCTCAATCAATGAAATTATGTTCAAAATTTAATAAACATTAGAAATTATATAATAAATGTAACAAAAGAATAAATATTTAAAATTTATACATTTTTAAAACTATTTAATAAATATATACGCTATTATTAAACGTTTCTTTTACTAGTTTCAAATATTTTTTTATGAGACATTTTGACAATTAATGAATGTATATTTAACGTTACATCTAGTAACATCTAATTAACAAACGTTTTTATATAGCATAAAAAGTCTTTCAGGTAAATGTTTTTTGAACATAAATTGTTGCTAGAATCAGAAATGCTGTATTATCTAAGGGAAATTAATATCGAGAATTTTTTAGCAATATTTTATGTAATTTATCTTTTTTATTGACATAATAATTATATTAAAAGAGATTATATTAAAAGAGATAAAACAATTAATCTTAATTTTTAATATTACTAGAATCTGACTTAATCCAAGTTGTGTATATATGCGTGTATATGTAAAGACAACGAATAAAAAATAATACAAGTGAAATGTGTACAAGTAACAAAGTTTAAGTAATGGATGAAAGTTTTTACAGAATCGTTTACTTGAAATGCTTTTTAATTTTTAACTATCCCTTTCTCTCAAAAGAAATCAATTTGAAAATTATTAAACATATTTGAGTTATGATTAGAATGTTTTTTTTTTTCGAAATATATTTCTAATTTCTGACTCTCTCTCTCTCTCTCTCTCTCTCTCTCTCTCTCTCTCTCTCTCTTTCCTCTGTAAACTTCTAGTTAATTCATACTTTAATTGGATTTTGTAGAATGTGTTTTTTCTTTATATAATTAAATTTATATAATTATATCAATATATTAAAAGATTTTGTTCATGAGCTTGATTTTCCGCTTTATTAGAATTTGATTTTTATACAAGTGGAATAACTGGTATGATATTATTTCAGAAAAAAACAATAGAGAACCAAAAATATGGGATCAATGGGGTAATTGGTCAACATGCAGTGTCACTTGTGGAATAGGCAAGATCATGAGATGGAGACATTGTATAGGCGGACGTTGCTCCTTGGGAGAGAAGAAAGCTCAGTTGAAAACGTGTACTTCCGCAACATGTTAAAATATTTTTCATGCAGTTTTAAGGAATTTACATTGTTTCATTAATGATTAAATGGAAGGAAGAGTAAAGTTAAAAATTATTAGAGAATTTCCTAAGTAAATAATTCTATGGAAACTTCTATCTGTCGGATTTCGTCAATTATATATTTTATTTTTATATTTTATTTTTCATATTTTTCTTCACTTATTTCTTCAATAAAAACGAATGTGTTTTTTTTATTTTAGAAAATTAAATTCGAATATTTTTTTTTTATATTTTTATAAGATGCAGATTTTAAACTCAAAATTTTGAGAGATTTACAAATGAGATAAATGTATTTTTACAAACTAGAAATGTCTACAATTAATTATTATCATAGGTGATTGTATCTAATGAAATATAATATATATAAAATCTAATCAAGCAGTTGTGTTGATCGATGATAAATGGCAAGAATATAACATGAAATAAAAATCCATTATACATTTATTTAATGTCCACAAAATGAACTTTATTTTTTATATAGATATGAATTATTGATCTACATAAATTTATAAATACTTTTCTTAATCTAACAACAGATGCTTCATAATTTAAGCTCTCTTTTTATGTACATGTTTTTTTATTCTCTTTGAAAGTAATCATCAGATTTATAAATTACGGGTGATTTATATACGGATGTTGTATTTGACGCAACTGGTTCATGAGTTTTCTTCTAAAAAATTCAATTCAAGTTGCTTAAGAAATTATTACATACATGACAATCATATAAAATATATAATTTAATTATTTAATAATTTAAAATATATGCTAAAGTGTATCCTTTAAGTATGTCGTACTTACAAAAAATGATAGAGGATTCAATATCCCAAATAATCTATCTGATACACCTAGATCAGTTTCTGCCTTGTCTACAGCAGCTTCCAATGTACTTAAATTCATGTTTGCCATTGCAACAATATGCTCCAGTGCATCTATCCTATTGCGAAGAGTTGCCATACCATCCTTCATTTGCTGTAACTTTGGAAGATGTTGCTGCATGCATTCAGCACTGCTATTTTCCACCTTGAGAGACAGAAATGTTTAATGTTTCAGTATCATATCAATACTGAATCGATACATATGTACATTCTATTTAGATTCATATCTAACCATTGCAACAATCGATTGGAATTCCTCTAATCGTATCAATGTATCCTCTATGACATCGCGAACATTTTTCACCTAAAATCAGCACGAGTTATTTAAGAATTTCTTAAATAGCAGAATATCAATTATGGATAAGAAAATACAAATAACACACTCGCCTGATTATTCCAATCCACTTTTGCATAATTCGCATAATCTTTAACCAATTCCTCGGTTAACTCCGTCGTTTGGGAAGATGTCATTTTTTCCTAATACTATTATATTTAATTAAATAACTAGATATATGT